TATTAAGAGATGACAACTCGGAGCAGAATCAAATTAGGATGGTCAACGGAAAACACGATTTATATGAAATACTAGATATAAACAGTATACATTGTCCGTTGTATCCAAAATGGTAGATTTGTTAAATTATAAAGGGTTATGTTTGCACATTCCTCCTTGCAATGTCTATCATGGTCTTTCGGAACACTTAAAATGGACAATATGGCGATATGGTACAGTAAAATTGTTTGATTTTCTCCACGGACTTTTTTCTAGCGATTATTTCGTGATCTTAATTGCTATAAAGTAAGACAACCACTATATTTATGTGACAGAAACCATGGTTAATTTATGTATGTAATGTTTTATAACTGATCAAAATTACATATAATAATACATTTATGGAATGTGCTAAGTTCAAACCAATTTTGTATTCTCCCTACCTTGTTTAGATTTGGGAGTACATATGTTGTATAGCTTATCATAACAATCGTTCTCAAACTCAAGCTACATTATAATCTAAACTGCAAATTAACTTAACAAAGCTAGCAAAACATCAAAAAAGTATAAAACAAAAACAAATAAACAAAAATTAAAAGAAGGATTTAAATAAAAATGTAATAGTTAATTTCCCCATAGAGCAATGTAAGTTGTTGCTGCATGCCTGACAGCTGTAAGTAAACATGCTTCCCTATACCCATTAGTGGGGGACTGATATGGGTTGTCCAGTTAAGTATCATTAGGTCGATGATACTAATTGGTCAGCACCTATTAGTGATTGACAGCAGTGACGGCATTATCCCCCTCACAGGGAGTGAAATATGTTGTTGAAAGCAGTGGTGACTTACAGCCTAGCTGGGCATCAAAACTACTTGCACCATTCAAACCTGGTACTCTCCATAAGGGGTCTTTTATCCATGTCACAGATTGAGAGCCGTGGACACTGCTATGTACGTTACAGCGTTTCACTAAAGTCATGGGGTACCACTGGCCTCACATACAAACTGTGTATTAGGTACCACTGGCCTCGCATACAAACTGTGTATTGGGTACCACTGGCCTCACATACAAATTGTGTATTGGCTACCACTGGCCTCACATACAAACTGTGTATTGGCTACCACTGGCCTCGCGTACAAACATTTAATTCTCTCTCCCTATCATAAATATTAGTATCCGTCCAATTTAGCTGACACAAGCAATCTAAATTAATAGCAAATTCATACATTAATACATTTGATTAAAGATAAACTAGTAGGAAGGCATAGGGAAATAAAATATGACTCACGTATGCCAGTCTACAATTAAATGATAGAGTGCAAGTCCGATGTTCCAGAGAAAGCTACAGTGTATGGACACATGAGAAAAACGTTCTCGTAATCAGGGGCCTTTTATATTTCCCATTGAGTTAGCCTCAGCATCTAAACAACCTTTCGTACTTACCAAAAACAAACTTATCCAAAAGGATATGGCGTGATTTAAACATTATCAATCAGATCTCCCAGCTTATGTCGATGACCTTACCGGAGCAAAAAATGACCTATGGATTCAGATAGGAAAGCAAAGCTTCCTTTCGAAGAGAAATTTCTTTGAAATATTTCTTCAAACTCAGGAAGCTAGTCTGCACCATGATGTTTTCATCTGTACATGTTAGATCTGCGGGAGTTGGACGACTGATTTAAGTATTTTAGACAGATATCCGGTTATAGTATAATTCTAAGTAAGGATTTATCTTAACTCCTAAATATGCTACCGTGACATTTATATTGACTTAAATTATAGACTTGATTGAGGCTATTCCCTGAAGATTGATTTTTCGATTTATATCGTTCAACCTAGGCAGTTAATACCAAACATGATGACGACGTATAAAATGTTTAACACGGTATTTGTAATTCAAACTTACAAAATATATTTTTGATGTTGTGCAAACTCAAAATTTCTAATTCACTAAAACGACACAATTTTTCGTACCTAACTGGCATGCAAACGAATTGACATAAAAGTGTTATAGTATTTTCTTCTATTATCATCGATTTACATTTGTATATGCAGATGTATAGAGTATACCTGTTATCATTCAGAACTTGATTTATAATTTGTCTTGCCGAAGGATTCCGACGATGAGTTCACGATGTGCCCTAGTTAATAGTAACGCTAAAAGGTCGAGGGGCTGTTTCTTTGTCTTGAATAATTTATGTTTATTTTATTGACCTCATCATTAATGTATAATTTTTCTAACATCACATGTATATGAGAAAAGGGGACCAAATAATCACATACAATAGGAACCATACTAATAAAGGACTCTGCATGTTTAAACAGGTCAAAATTCAAATTGACTTAACCTTTATCTATCAGTTTCATGCAGTTGTCATATCTAATTCCCACAGATGGTACGGCCCGTCTGCTGACAGTGCTGATCACCATGACAACAAGAAGTATGGGTAGATTCAGGTAAACACAAAGACCAGGTAAGACTTGTAGACAAAAACTTGATCATTGATCTGACTCTACACTTATTAACATAAACAACAGATGTGCAATCCTGTTTGTTAAGCGTAGCGGTGTTTGGAAAACTGACCCTAAGCCTAGCTGGCTAGGGGAAGCTATCGAAAACCTTGATTCAACTAATCACGAACAAATCCTACATAAAATGGGGAAAATTTTCAAAATCTCAGATATTCTTGGACATAGAAAAGCAATACCCCTGTATTCTCCTCTGTATGTTACCATGTACTTGGAGGATAGATAACAGAGAGTCTATTAAAGAAACATAGGATGGCTAAACAACATAAATTTAGATCACAGAGAGTTAGGAAAGGAAAATAGGATGGGTAGACAAAAGAAAGTTAAGCAAGAAGAATAGGATGGGAAGGCAACAGAAATTGGAGTAGGGAAAAAAATGGGTAGACAAGAGAAATTTGTGTCAGGAAAAAATAGGATTGATAGACAACAGAAAATTGAGTTAGAAAAATAGGATGGGTAGACAACAGAAAGTTTATCAAGGAGAAATAGGATACTAGTATTAGGATGGATAGACAACGGAAAGTTGATTAAGAAAATTAGGATGGGTAGACAACAGAAAGTTGATGAAGACAAAATATGATGGGTGGACAACAGAAAGTTGATGAAGGTAAATAGGATGGGTAGGCAACAACAGAAAGTTGATGAAAGTAAATAGAACGGGTAGGCAACAGAAAGTTTAGGAAAGGAAAATATGACAGGTAGACAACAGAAAGTTGATGAAGGTAAATAGGACGGGTAGGCAGCAGAAAGTTGATGAATGTAAATAGGACGGTAGGCAAGAGAAAGTTGATGAAGGTAAGTAGGACGGGTAGGCAACAGAAAGTTGATGAAGGTAAATAGGACGGGTAGGCAACAGAAAGTTTAGGAAGGGAAAATAGGACGGGTAGGCAACAGAAAGTTGATGAAGGTAAATAGGACGGGTGGACAACAGAAAGTTGATGAAGGTAAATAGGACGGGTAGGCCACAGAAGGTTTAGGAAGGGAAAATAGGACGTGTAGACAACAGATAAAAAACATAAATGGTGTACAAAAGAAATGTAAGATATGTACATACCAAAATGAAGGCTTCATCGTAGCGAGTGATATCACTGATTCGAGGTCTGATACTCTCGCTTCATCCTCCGAGCTAGCGATGTATTGCGGCAATGAATCACGGTCTAGTACTCTTGTTAACCGATGCTGCTTTGTGCGTATTTATCGTCCTCTGAGTTTGGTGTGGTGATGATGTTAATCAAATGGAACTATTTCTTTCTGTACAGTCAAGTATTAATCAATTACGCTGTTGCATCGAGGAAGTGTCAATTTATCATGCAACATTTCCCAAATGGATTAATTCTATACGAAAGTCATCAAAATAGTATGTCCTGTTGTTCGGCATAACTTCAGACGGAATCAGGTATGAAAAAGATGGTGCGCCTTATGAAACTTGTTATATGTTGAGCGAGTATCGGTTACATGTATAATTGATCAGATCATTACAACGTACCCAGATGTCATATATCAATAGGCTTCTGTGTATGGTTACCTGAACTATGTAAGTCATTTAAGTAAGAAAAAAGAAGAACCGTGTAGCTTTCACGTTTCACACCTATTCTAGATAGAGAACTCGAAATTGTTTTGTATCATCTTAAATGGTATCCAAACTACTTCAGAAAAATGCTGCGTGCGCATGCTCCACTTGTACAACTTCCCAGAACGAAACATTTGGCACCTATGCCCATTTTAACTAGAAACAAAGAACGAATTTCAACAGTCTCCGAAATCCTTAATTTTAGACCGATTTCGTAAAACTGAGTATTTTTTTTAAAGAAAAGTATACCACCTTTCAAATGAGACCAGTTTCAAGAAAGACGAAACAAAAGTTGCTATTTATACGTTCATTTGATGACGAGGTTGAAATCAGCGCAAATTATTATCACATGAGTATTTTCTTAATTTAATCATTATGACAAACAATTCAATTTAGGTTTAAATGATGAAAAAAGTTGTGTTTTTTTTAAAGTGAAAATCGCATTTTTTATCTACCGAATATATAAATACATTCATGCATGATATATATATTCCAGAATATTCCTAGTTTGTGCGTCACCTGCGAAGCAGATGTAATATAGGGAAATCATTCTGGAGGCTCGCTGTAACATAACGTCTGAAAGAATCATTTGATTTCCATGAAACTCTCTTCAGGTGAAGAGTGTATTAATTACCAGCTCAATAAAGATTTTGATCCAAAACTGAAAATCAGCATCGTCGACCACAGCCATCTGAGATTTTGTGAAAAGACATCATTCATAATTCCATCTGAAGTTGATATTAGAAATGTAAAAACCTACGTTATTCTTCTCTTTCAGTTATAGTTAGATGATTGGTACATGTTACAAATTTGCTTCGGGACTTGCTCATCATGAATATTTTTCATTTATCAAACACCATATAGTTTTAATAAAACGATTGAAAACTAATGTACATCTTCAACACAACAAACACATATCAAACCTGGCCATGATTTTTAATATTTCTCTACATTGTCAGATATCAAAGTTGTACAAACATTCATATAATGTAAATAAAGTTTAAAATACTGCTACATTTTGTTAATTGTATATCACAGACGCTTTCCGAAAACAATAACATGATGATATAAGCAGTTCATCAAACTACTTTAAACAAATGATATGAAGGAAAATTAGTACTTGATATATGAGTGCACTCTATTGTGGTATGCATTGGTCAAAATAAAAAATAAATACTTTAAGGTTTCCAACCTTGTATTTTTTATAAAAAATATAGCACTAATAAAAGAAAACAATAAGAAAAAAATAACTGAATCGATGTATAGATTTTAGCATTATTCTATTCTAAATAAAAACAAACAGTGCACTGTGCGAGATCAAGACCCTGAGTTAGCTTTTCTTATGTAATGTGACTTTGGGAAAATAATAATAATAATTTACGGCTTAGCACATTATGATTAGCTGGACGTATTTTAACGTATCTAGTTGTTTTTTTATTAAGACTCAGTGTAAATAAAACAGCCTTATATATTGACAATCACTCCCAGGTAACAATTGATCTAATTCAATTTTCTCTGATTGATAAACCCGGTTTGAAAAAAAAAACAAAAAAAAACCGCTTTCATAATTTTCGCCGTTTGAAGATTTTACTAGAGTAAATGAAATTTCTTAAACAAATCCTACAACAGTGGCTGAAATGTAACTAATAGGCTACAAAATTATGTTTTTCTTTCTATAGCTGTTCTATGTCTATCAATTATGATTGAGAAGTTCATCCTTTCAATCATTCTTTTGCACATATACCCTTCCACTCGAGCTAGCATTCTCAAAATCACAGTAAATATAATAGTTCAATCTTTGTTCTATTCGCATGAAAATCAAAAGAATATATGGATTGCCTGTTACGAATGTGAATGTGAAGTTTTCGTTTCATTTGATTAAAAAACTTTTAGTACACAATATACAAAAGGCAAGCTTCTTTTGAAGACAACGTCCACAAAATAATATACAAAATAAGACAACTCCGTTCATGTTGTCAAAACACAAACATCATTATTTATTATCGGTACGTTCAAAAAGAAATGCTATTGTCAGCCTAATTAAATCATAACAAAAACGTTATTATATTGATAAAGTAGCATTCACAAAAACATACGATGCAAATACAAGTATAACTATATACAGAAAACAAAGGAGAGAAAAGTGCTATCCTGAATTATTTTACTTATATTGTGGCCAGTTAAAATAGTATCGGATCATGGAATGGAAAAAAACAGCTATTATTATTTTGATATTTTTTTAACCAAAATTAACGTTGTATGTTCTCTCTTTGTAGTATCAATAGTTAGATGATACATATAAGTCTTAACATAATACATTTAATCGTCTCGTTATATAAATATTGGCTAAATTGACAAACTTCTGTGTTGTCCTTCCATGATCCTATACGAGTGTTACGATATTAATCCTAAAAATATTAGTTCTTTGGTAGGTTTCTATCTCATATCGTGCTTAATTAAAATAGTTACAAGTTAATGGACGGAAGTCTTGGGAGACGTCACATAATCATATCACAGTCTGGCAGTGACAAACGTACCTTAGGTCACAACAGTCCTATGTGAGTGACCTCACATCAGTTCAATGTCGATGACCTTCATACGTCAGTCCAATGTCTTTAATCCACTCACGCCACTCTAATATCTGTTACCCCTCACATCAGTCCAATGTCTGTTACCCCCTCACATCAGTCCAATGTCTGTTACCCCTCACATCAGTCAAATGTCTCTTACCCTCTCACATCAGTCAAATGACTGTTACCCTCACATCAGTCAAATGTCTGTTACCCCCCTCACATCAGTCAAATGTCTGTTGCCCCCTCACATCAGTCAAATGTCGGTTACCCCCTCACATCAGTCAAATGTCTACAATTCTTCCATGTCAATCAAATGTCTTCAGTTCTCTCACACCAGTCAAGTGTTTTAATTCTCTCATAACAATCCATTATCTGTGACCTTTTTACATCAGCACAATGTCAGTTACCCTCTCACATACGTTTTATAAGAGACACTCTAACATTAGTCAACTATACATGTGAAACACATGCAAACGAAGCTGTATTTATTAAATTACTCAAATGACAAGTTACATGATGGATTGACTTGTTTTCGATGTCAAAGGTAATTTTGTTTCGTGTCCAAACCTGGAAGTTTGATTTCGACAGGCTTTCTGGTATACCGTATCTGTGTACATAATCTGACAGTGTTCCTTACTTTGGTATGCCTCTAGTTCTTTGTGGAAAGCCACCGTCTTAACCAAAATCATCGACGGCATGAACATTCTGAAAGATTGTTGTTTGATATTCTAAATCCTAAATCAGTCTTATTTGTCAATCTTACCATCACTCTCGTGAAGCAAATGTTCATATCCATAAAAAAATACTAAGATTCTATTCTAATGTCCTTATTATGCTCGCTTAAAACCCGGGGATGTGTTCGTATGCATTTAATGAAGCAAGCAATACATATACGACCCACAGCGCAATGCAAAATATGCCCGATAATATTTTGGGGATTTTAGGACCTCCGAGTTCCGCACTTCCAAACACGTTCAAGTTGCGTCTGAATAGTAAGAACATGATGGTCACAAGGGAGCAGATGGTGAAGACGATCACGCTGAATCCCAGTGATCCAGCAGGCACTTCAAACGTGGTCCCCTAGAAAAGAAAAATGAAATCATATTGGGTAGTCTTTAAAAGTACGTATCTCCCAAGTAAAGGTTAAAGTTACGAACACGTTTAACTTTATCATTACCTTTGTTTGTAAATATTGTGAAAAGATGCCTTCCCTAAAAATGAAATGTTAATCACAATAACAAATTTATAGTTTTTCAATATTTGATTATTGAAATAAAAACAGAAAACAGAAAGAAAAAAAAATGAAAAACTTGACATTGGAAGATGTTCTTCGCCAGCAAAACTCCTATTGGTTTCTTCATTCTCTATATATTTAAGGGAGAATACTCAAAGGAAAGAAACTCTTAGTAAAACTCTTCTTAGTGATGATTTTTGATGCTTTACTAGTGATACCTTTACATTTGGCATGTAATGGATATCAAATATACATATGAATAGTAAATAATTGACATTGCATACTCAGAGTATAAATTGTCCTGATTAATTTACCTTTGCTGACCAGTAGACAGCAGCCATTGTCCACGGCAAGCCGAGACCTAGGAAAACGTTTACGGCGTTACTTCCGGTGACGTTTCCAACTGCCGTATCGGCATATTTTTCATTCAGCGCTGCTGTGCGACTAGCAAACATGTCTGGCAGACTGGTTCCCAGAGCAACGAAGGTAATGGCTACGACGCTGTCGTCCAAACCAATGAGGCACCCGAAGATAGAGGCAAGATCTCCAATGAAGGCTGTCAGTAATCCAATCATCCCCAAGGATACAGCAAAACAGAACCATCCTCCCCAGATTGTGGCTGGTGGTACGAGAGCAAAGATGAGCTGCAACAAAAGATTCCAATATGAAGAAAATTTACGTGAACTTTGACAGCTAAAAAGGAACGTTTTGCAGAAATATCCTGATATATTTGGGTTATAGCATGCAATATCAAATTGATTAAGATATTTATGTACCTATTTATGATTTTAAATTAAATAATTTACTGTGTTTACCTTCCAGCCGAAGGTTAAAAAGTGCATGACATAATCAAATGTGGTTGCAGTTTCCAAATCTCCTCCATTGACGTTCATGGCCTCTACAAACTGCTGTCCCCACGTTTGTTTCTGAAGACGAAGCGAGTCTAGGTTGGCGTTGGTCAGGCTGGTGATTCGGCTGACAAGACCACTAAATTCTGTAAGTAAGTTTTCAAGTGATTAATTATTTGAACAATGATAACTGACAAACACTTCGGTTTGGATGCGTGTTTGGATGGAGTGTGATATACATAGGATATGTGATCACTGTTAGATTATAGGTGTGGAATATAAATAGAATTTGAACACCGTATTATTATAGTGGTGGAATACTAATGTTGTAGGAGATGCATATATATAGAATATTAAATACTGTTCAAGCATGGTTGTGGCGTATATATAGAAATTGGACAATAATAGTATAGGAGTGGGATATATAAAGAATGTTCAATACTGCTTAAGTATGTGTGAGGGATATATGAAGAATTTTAAACACTGTGATATTATAGATGTTCAATAATGTAGAATATCGACACTGTAATAGCAAAGGTGTGGGACATATGTAGAATATCGACACTGTAATACCATAGGTGTGGGACATATGTAGAATATCGACACTGTAATACCATAGGTGTGGGACATATGTAGAATATCGACACTGTAATACCATAGGTGTGGGA